CCCAAGCACCAGCTTGCTCAGCTGGTGCCTGGAGCCGGCCCTAGTTCCACTGATGTCAATGGAACCATGACATTTTAAACCGTCTAAGGATCTAGCCCAATGCTAATTCCCAGGAGAACTTATTTAACGAATTGCACCCAGGCTAATAATAGCCAGCTCCTTAAACTAACACCATTAAGCAATCTTGGATACCAAAAAGAAAAGAAACCTGCTGTTTTGTTTATCTGATTTGATGAACAGCAGGGCCAAATCCAACCCTGACATGAGTGAATGCAACTCCTTTGGAGTCAACAGAATTGCACTGGGTTTAAGCCAGCAGTGAATTTGGCCAATGTATGTGCAGTTTGTGGTCCATTGTTGACCACATATGACACATTCCACATTAGTGGAAGACACATACATCTTTTCACTATTGTCACTGTGGGAGTTTCGTTGTGTGTGTGCTTGTGTATAGTAGCTATTTTCCAGTACTAATAGTTTACAACAACCTCACTGGGAATGGAAGGAAAACTGGGGATTGAAGGAAGACACTGCTAATTTTAGGTCCAAACTAGTTTTAATGAAAAAAGGGGGTCAACATATCTTCACATGAATGGAAATATCTTCAGACTTTGTTTTTTGGAATTTCAGTGATATATTTCCCTCAACCACCTGCAGCATTGGGAACTCAACTGGCCATGTGCTAGTCCACAAAATCCAGGAACTGAAATAGACTGGCAACAAAACTAGAAATTAAAAGGCAACTGCCCAGTCTAGTTTCATTGTCTAAGGAGTAAAATGAAAAAGTGAACAAACTGCATACCTGGCAAACATTAAATTAGACTTTTAATACTTTGATTAATTAGTAACATTGGTAAGGAATGTATTTAACAAGAGTTTTATGTTAACTGTGAGATCCTTTTAATGTGCAGTGTCTTGTATCAAAGATGTTATTTATCTCATTGATATTTCATGGAGGGGGGCAAAGCAGAACTTCTAGCATTGCAAAGTGATCCCTTTGCTTTGAGCTGATTCACTGTTGTATTACTCCAGTTATAGTGTAAAACTGCAGTAATGCATTGATGGCCCTTGTTTCCAGGGATGAGTGCTGAAAATTGCCACGTTCCCTGTGCGATTCTGCAAAATTCTTCTCTGCAGGACACCATGTATTGTGATTTCCTGCTGAATCTTTCACATCACTGCCCACAGAGCTTTCTCTTACTAGGGATCTCCACTGCATACTCAATAGGCTGCGATTGCATATGGAAGTGGAGTGGGTATCTCATCTATAACATAAATGTAGTGACCAAATGTCTTTTCAGGATTGCTGTCTGACAGTCAGAGGCGAGCCTTTGAGCCTTTAAGTTAAGTTGGAGAGGACTATTAGCTATTTTAATCCTCAATTCTTCCCCTGAAGAACTGAGGAGAGAAGAATTCAGTTACTCCCAATTCATACTACAACATCACAGTGCAGCTGCTGCCAGCCAGCTGGCTGAGAGCCTACAGGGCAGAGTCAGCAGCCACATGGAAGAAGCCAAGGGCAGGGCCAGATAGTGTGTGGCTATGTGCTGGCAGTCCCACCCTGCAAAGGGTCCCTCTGGCTTCTCAGTCCCAATGGCAGACCATAGCTCTCTCTGCCAATGGGCCAGTCACCTCAGTCAATGGATCCAAATGTTGCACTCTCCACAGACACTCTCCCCAACCAGGGCCCAGATCCATGGAACCTGCCTTATAATCTGCCTCTGGAATGGATTTGACAAACATTTCCACCTGCAGTATTGAGGATGCGAAACTGTGGCCATTTACCCTAGAGCATAAGGAAGAAGTCTGCCCTTCAGCATCTAAAATAAGCACTGGTGGCCCACACAGCACGCTGCTGTCTCCTGCAGAGGGCTGCCATTGTTGTTCTGTCTGTATCTGCTTCTTAGAGCCTTTTTCTCTCCAGTATTTTTTTCAGCTAGCGCTTTTGTGTGTGTGTGTGTGTGTGTGTGTGTGTGTGTGTTTTGTACATTCGGGGAACTATCCCTTCTCTCCACAGCTGCTCCTCATCTGAGCTTAGCAGAATTGAGAGGCATTTGGTAAAGTGCTTTCTAATCATAGCGTAATACTATCAATATTTCTGGAGAGAATAATTCGGAATTGAAGCAGCTGGTCTCAATTAACAGAACTGCCGCTGTGGAGATGACACACGAGCAGGCGTGGTGCAGCATGAAGCTGCAGTAAATGTATAATGTGAGCATGCATTGCCCCATAAAAGGGACTGGATTGTAGGTAGACTGCTAAGCAGATGTGTATGGGTTGTCTGTAGAGTAGGCACTTGGTGTTCTTATACTTTCATGTTGTGGATAAATCCGAGAGCCGTGCTTCTTGCACAGGTCCACCTCTGTCACGTTTGGAACTTTGCATCTAGGTTGAAGCAACAACAATATATAATGTTGTTATAACGGTTATAGACCGTACAAAAGACAGAGGGCCTGATTTTGACTTCACTTCACTTTTGCACCGGTGTACCTGATTTGAGCTGGATCATCCAGCTACATGTTTGGTAGCATCCATTGATTTGTGGATACAGTGGGCCAGATTCTTCTCTCACGTCTCTTCTCTCACTGACACTTACACTTACAAATTAGAAGTAACTCTGTTGAAGTCAATGGTGTTATGGCAGTTTATTGCAGATGGGGACCTGGCTCATTAACTTCAATGGAGTTACTTCTTATTTGGCAGCAAGAGGAGAACTTGGCCCAGAGAGTCCAATGTGCATAAATCAGTAGCCACTACTGAACATACAAATTTGCAACCTGTGGTTTTGATTTTCCATGCCAACGAAGGAATTGAGCCACACAACCCCCATTGAAATTAACGTGAGCTGTGTGGCTAAGCTGCGTAGTCAGTTTTGAACATCTCAGCCTGTATGTTGCATGTTAAATGTATATCCTCTAGAGCGGAGTTACTCTATGAGCTGCTAATTCACCATCCTCCAAACACTGTGGGGAGATGGAGTTTGTGGCATCCTGTTGCTTTAATCTACAAAAGACCTTGTGAACTCCATAGCTAGCATTCTGGATTCTACAGCACTCTGTGGGGTGCTGCAGATTGGAAGTTCTGCATCATTTACATTTAAAAAAGGAGGTTTTTTTATTAATTAAAAATGAAAATGGTAGTACAGGATAGTAGCCCTGGTGTTGTTAAATTCCATTTCATTTATGCTACCCTCGTATTTTCAGATTTTGAATTTGTGGCAAACTTTTCTGCTGTCAGTACCTTACTGCATCATGTCAGTTGTCAGAAGCTTGATGCTGGAGCTTTTGGCAGGTGGATTGGGAGCAACGGTGGCTTTTGGCATCTAGAGAGGTGTGGAAAGCATTTAAGGATTGTGAGATAAACAGACAAGTAGGATATTTCTGCTAAAAATAATCAACAGTGAGTTTCGTTAACAGTGGTGACAAGTTATTATTTTTTGATTTCAGAGTTAATACTCCTTTTGAGATGAATGTGATAATTTCACCTCCTCAGAGCTATTGTTTCAGCCTCTCTGCAGACTCAGGCATGAGCTTATACTTTGTTCATGTGTCCAAGATTTTGTACCTGACCATAAGGACTAGAAACATAGTTGTGTTTATTTAAATGGAAGTTTAGATTCTGGAGCACAATTTCTCAGCGGGGGGGGTGGATTCTATAGCAAGTTCTGCAGCAGTGGAATCACGGAACACATGGGGCCCTGAATAAATGCAGCAAGGGGTGCTAGTATTATTATAAAGAATTGGCCTTATAGCTGATTTGCTAAATTGCAGATTTAAGCCACTGCCACAGGCTGGTGAATGCATCCTGTCAACAGTGTTATCCTGAAGCTTGAGCTGAAACTTTATATATCCCTCCAGAGAAAGAGATGTGTAACAGGAGTATAGGAAAGACTCACAGGACATGATTTTCATGTGTGTTACAGCCTCTTTTCAGTACCATGGCAATGGAAAAGCAGTCTAAATGAGCTGGAAAGTGGGCATAATTTTCTGCCACCATGGTGTGAAGTGGTCTTAGTGCAATGGAGAATTCAGGATGTGGTATTTATCCATGGGTAATGAAACGTTAAAGCAAATCATGCTTCTTTGTTCAATGATCGTTATCTTGAATTGTAGCTCAAACCACCATTATTAAACCTAGGGCATGAGTATTGGATTTCTATAGTTGGAGCAAGAAC